TTTAGAAACTGGTAGCTTACTTCTCCTCACTCTTTCCAGCAACCGGTTTTCCCAGGTTTCCGGTTCTAATCTCCCAGAATGGTCCGCCTTGATACAAATCCCTAAATTTTGGTCACATGTCCCGGGCAAGCACATCAGACGTGTCGCGTTCGAGCCTTCTTCCAATTCATTCGCTGGAGAAAGTGAATCCAATTCGATACTTTTTGCCAGTGGAGCTGACGATGGAATAGTACATATATTTGAAATTGATGGGGACAAGCTAATCATGCGGATTTCACAAAGTTCTCCACAGCAATCCAATCCACAGTCTGTATAAAACTTAAATATGTTTTTGGTAAATGCCTTTGACTATGAGCTGTCGTTCTCAACAACATTCACTTTGTAGGGGTTTCCTGACTTCCGCTTCATGTTGTCATGTTACAAAACGTTCCCGGTAGGATATGCTAAGAAAACCGTATCAGAGATGTTTCATCTCCTAAACGGTGCATCACTAAGATATGGCCATGATCATTTGTATTACTTGAGACTTGAGGACATTTGTCACCCCGTCGTTCTCTATAATGGTGCTTTCACCTATCATCACCTATTGGTTTGCTCAAATGGTTTTTTAGTGTTGTCCTCTGGATATCCATCATCTGACTTCCTAACATGGTTCTTTCAGTCTCACCGACTAAATGGACCGATGCGTGACAGTGTTTGTCGTAACGGTTACATTTGCGTTCTTGCTCCATTTGGTGGGCACCATTTATCAGTACTACACTAGCGCCGTTGTGGCCTCATTCGACGGTTGTTAGTATGTCCTGACAACTTTGAGGTGTACCGGCCGATCATTAACGATTAAGTTGAGAGTGACTGCGCTTGCTGATTTCGCCATGCTTTCGGAACCCTCTGGAGTTTGTGGGATTGGGTTTCAGCCTTGTCCTTTTACGCTGGTATGGAGAAAAATACACGCAATTTACGGTGCATGCAATCGTAAAAAACCGACTGATGCTTTGTGATAGAGATGAACCAAGCTTTTTAGTTCGCTATTTAGAAATGCGCTTTGATTCCGGCCGAGACTGCGCTGCTACAAGCTGTTTGTCCACATAGGCGAGGTGACAGTGGGATATGGTTCATTGAATATAGTTGGAAAACTCAACTCTTTAATGATGTCATTATTAACTTATTCGGCTTTTCGGATAAGAATTCTTTTTCTTCCTAAATGGCAGACCAGCCAGCCTAATGTCAATGTGGTCTCGTGTGAATCTGCGAAATTGCACTGAAGAGTGTGAGTCTAATGCCCACCCGCAACTGGTGATCCTTCCAGTCTGTCTTGTAGGCTATCAGCACATGCAAAACAGGTTAGGCGGTATGCAACGTAAACTCCACAGTTCTTCATCGTTTCACTATGGGGCTGAAAATCAGATCAATCGGCGACAAAATTTTTCGAGGTGTTTATATCGTTTCCCAACTCAAACACACTGGGATGGAATATCCTGAAATACTGACACCGTGCGTTGGAAATGCCCTCTTTTCACTTCTGTTTTAAAGATCGGTTTGGGTATAAAGTCACTATAGAGTAGTTTCAAAATTCATAAATTAGCGTCATGATGAAAGTGAAATGTATTTTTCTAGTCTAATCCAGTTGGACACCTCATTTCAACGACTTTTATTGCTTCTATTCCATGCATTTGTTATATGAACAAGGGCTGTCCCTCCACTGCGGTCGCCTTACGTAATATGCTGTTAACCTCGACAATCAGCGGGATTCATATGGTCAGGCAAGTAGAATGGAATTTGCATGCCGTGAGTGCAAAGTGAAGTAGTAAATTTCCGGAAACTTGGACTTGTGTGCTGTCAGTTCCACCTTAAAGTGCTAGATGTTTGTAATTGTGAACTGTTGTGGTGTACTGCAAAAACCGAATCCACTTGGCTCCATCAAATTTCATTTTACTACGGCCAGCTCTGACAAACAAGCAACTAAATTAAACGAGTGCTTTGGAACTTTCTTCCTTGAGATTTGGTGAATTCGAGCCACGCCGTAGGCATTTATGTCCTAGGTGTCCTTCAGGTTAATTCTGATTGCAGATGCAAGGCCTGCCCGGCTAATTCGCACTGGACAGTTTTTTAGGATGTGGGTTTATTAGTGCTTTGCTCGAACTCAATACCGGACTGGAATAGCAGCAAACATGGAAGCTGTTCGTGTCCAAGAGATTATGCTGACAATCTAGCGGCGTTATCTCATTCAACAAAGAGAAAACGTTCAACCAATTCGTGGAATTAGGTCCATATTAAATAAGTTCTTCGATGTTTCAGAGCGGTACATACCGAGTTTTCCGGTGTTAAGCACACGGCCAGTTTGTCGTCCTTAGGATATTCCGCTGGTTCCTGAATCAGTACCCTTTAACATTTCAAATTCAACCCCGGGGACTTATAACTCTAAGGTCAGAATAGCGAATCGGGTTGCTGTTAAGCACTATCCACTGACTGTTTCCTAACATGTGAAACGAATCACTGGGATGAGGTTCATCTATCTGTGAAGCAAACGGGACACTTGCACGGGTATAGGGAAGGCAGCGAGACCAAAAGCCAAGACCGGAAACCGAATACATCAGTTAACCTGTATTACGTCACTGCGTTGTTTGCGGACTCTGGGTGTTTACCAGGTGTTAATTCGAAGCTGAGTGAAACAAGAGAGCGCGTCATGGCCTGGTCCAGCTGTGGCACGTACATTTTGAAGTAGAAAAAACATTTTACTGCTGCATCGATATCTTGCTGGCCGATACTCAAAAGAGCAACTAATGTGCGTCCATGTTAGTGAATAGCGTCTACCGATGCTGGATAAACTTGAAACCTTAATTTCAGTCGAATTGTTCGAATAGCACGCTTTCACAGGTGTTATTCTGGTTGGTCTAATGGGTACTGTGATTTCTCGTGGCCACAGCAGTCCGACTACCACTCAAATCGATATCACTCAAATCCCCATACGACCATGCCATTTTCCAGAATGATGATAAGTACAACTGAACGGATTGTTTACTTGCGTCTGTTCACCTGGTCCCAGGACATAAATGTATGGAGCCAAATAATTCTGAGTAAATTGTGTAGAGACTATTATACTTGAGCGAGATAAGCGAACGAAAGTGTCGCGAAGGTGTGCTCGAATCCGCGTGATTGTGTCTTCAGACATTTGGTGCATGAAATGTTGCGGTACAGGTGTGGTAATTCTTGAGCCTCAACCGACGTCGGATTTCGACATCATTACTTCGGGTTATAGTGAGAGGAATCGTCCTAAGCATCCAAACAGAGGTAAAAAGTTAGACCATTCCGAACGCTGCTATCAACTGCGAATCACGCCACATCGATAAGGAACAGACGAAGGTACAAATTACAAATTGGCCTTTCAAAATCCAAATTCTAACTGAAAGTCAGACTCTATAGCTGACTCCCGTGAACTATGGCGTTTTGTGTATGAAAGCCTGGCCTAAATTGTTTAGTCAATAAAGCTTCAAGGTGGGACAACAAACCGAATCTGGCACTTGTTGGCGACAAGTTCAAGGCTGAAGAATCATCAACCCTAATGGCCACCAGTTTGGCAGTAGAGGAAGCGAGATACTCGACAAACGGAATGACGTTTGCCGGGTGGTCCAAGGTGTACTTAGGGACACGTTATCGTACGAACACCTAAACAGGTGCACGTTACGGAACCTGTCTTCTTTGGTATCAACAGGACCTTCGAAAGTGCTTTATTTGGAGGTAAGGGGACACTCCTGGTTTTCAGAAACAAACAGCATTTTCCATTTTCGACATGTCATTTGTAACAATGTGCCCTTTGAATGATAGGTGAAGAAATAAACATCACATTTGTTTGTTTTTCTTCGGGATTTCCATGGTAGCCTGCATTTGGTAGCTGAAACAAAGTTAGAACTACTGAGCGCTTGTATCCAACTGAACAAAAACTGAAAGGTCGGGTATTATGCCATCCAAGTAACCTAACGATAAACCGACCGCTCTATTTGGTGACCATGGTCACCGCCGTGAACAGCTCAAACTTAGTTGAGCTGTGTGCTTTGGTGTCTCCGCTAACCCTTGGCTAATCTATGGTAAAGTGAGTCATTCATGACAGAGAGGTTACACTGGTGCCCCATGTTTACGTGTCTTTGGAATGCTGTAGAGTTAAAGTGTGCCACCTCCATGAGCTGTTTTGTTATTCCCTCATCAAACCGTACAATTTAGGTATCTGCAACTCAAGCGCAGTTCAGTTTCCCTGGAGTTGAGAATTCACTTGACTTTTTGTATCTGATAGAATGGCTGGCATTTTTCTAGCACAGTCCTATTTTCTTTACTCTACCATATACTCAGTCTAAGTTCAGGATACGGATGTCTGGGTTTCGCTTCAAGTGTTGGAGTGCTTCGAAATAGAGCTTTGTCAGAAGACAACCTTTTTGTACCGGTGAGGCGTTAGGTTGGTAACTGAATTCAGCAACCTTGGCTTTAAACTTGTTTTCAGCCACTAGAGAATCCGAGTTGGAATAGGAGTCCGCACCAAATTTCCCTGGGTACAATTACGTTGCGCGAGTTGTCAGACTGATGGAGGGCAAACCTTGAAGTTTAAGCGGAGATGATGTTCTCTCACTTGGATACGTAAATGACTGACGGATGAGGTCTTTCCAGTGCTCAGTTCAATTTGACAGGAAATGTGGTTCCACTTCGTTGGTATCCATTAATTTTACCTCCTTTACTCTGCGTTTACGCGTGATTAATTGAAGCAGTGGAGTATTTGATACCTACGAATCTTCCCACTATGCGCATTCACTCATGTAAATAAACAATTCATAAAAACTCGGATCGTAGAAAGCGCAATCTCAAAGTCATATAACGGCAGCAGAGTGACGGAATCTAATGTTTTGGCATAAGCTATTTGGGTTTTTGTGCGAGTCGAGCGTAGGAATAGTGTTTTCTCCCACAGATATCGTTGGTGCATATTCGCACCTTTGGATATGGATAAGGATTTTCTTTCTGTTGCATCGTTTGCCCGGTAAGTCCATATGCAGGCGCTGCATTGCAGTGAACCGAAACTGTTCTCCGTGTTGCTGAATTAACAGGCCAATCTGGCCATCTTCTTAAGGAATTGAATGCGAGAGTTTCGAGGATGGGGCCGTTTCATTTTTGGTTTGATCCATCCATCTAATCTTTTGCCCTGAGAGAGTTCCGGTTGATCGCTTGTAATGAAAATGCCTATCTAGTTGGTAAATAACTTTCATCCAGCGTATCAAATTTCACCATCTTGAAAATCCGATCCGAACTAACCACTAATATAGATGTATTTTCATGAAT